TTAAAAAAAAAAAAAAAAAAAAAAAAAAAAAAAAAGTCAGTGGGCCTCACTACATGTGTCTTGAGACTGAATCCTCCACTGGAACGTGGAAAGATAAATTGCGGGCCTCCATTTTTTTATTTTTTTTGGGTGCACGAGTAGTGCAAGTACATAGTGCAACGATGGGCCTCACTACACTACTCTCAATATCCAAAACGAGGGTGCCTCACTTCACTACTGTCAATATGTCCAAAACGAGGGTGAATCATGCCCTAGAACATGGAAAGGTACACTGCCATGATTTTTGTCTTTTGTGCATGTTGAGAGGAGCGTGGCCGAGCAGAGGCAGGGGAGAGAGAAAGGGGAAGAGATTGAAGTAGGGGGAGGATGGCGACTGGAGAATATGAGCCTGGAGGAGCAGGGGGGGTCGTGTTTGGTGGTATTCTGCTATTTCGTTTTTTTGTTTTTTTTTTTGTTTTGTTTTTGTTTTGTTTTGATCTCTGGGCAGGCAGATGATGATTGTAGCGGACCCACCAGGTGTGGTGCTCCGCTAGGGATGACGATGGAGATGGAGGATGAGGGAGGAGCGAGATAGCGCAGCGCAGCTCCCACGCAAGACTCCAGCGCACGTACTCCAAAACTGTGCAACCGTAGAATGATCTCGAAAACAGACAATGGCTGGGGTATACCCCAGCGGACTGACGGGACTGGACTGGCTGGTACCGACAGAGGTACCGGCCTGGACTGGGCTGGACTGCCCCCGAATAGAACACAGGCCTGTGAGAACAGGCCAAGGGGCTGGTCTCACAGGCCAACCAGAGGTCCGCTACAATGATGGGGAGGAAGATCCAGAGGAGCGTGGCGGAGCGGAGGCAGGAATGTCGGAGTGGGAGGAGAAGGAGGCAATGATTCAGAGGAGGAGGATGACGGAGAAGGAGGACCTAGAGGATGATGACGGGAAGGAGGATCTGGAGGACGGTGGCGGAGAAGAGGATGGGGGTGGGAGGAGGTCGATGACGGGGAGGAGGAGGAGGATGACGGGGAGGCGGGAGGGGAAGGTAGCCGAAGAGGAGCATGGCAGAGGAGAAGAGTGGTGACAGGGACCGGGAGGGGAAGGTCGCCGAGGAGGAGAGTGGTAGAGGAGGGATCACGGGAAGGGGGAGGGGAAGGTGTCGAAGAGGAGCGTGGCCGAGTTCTATTTGGGTGATGATGGTAGCAACCAGCTCCGGAGGATAATGACCAGAACGGGGATCTAGAGGATAATGGCAGGGAGAAGGATCTGGAGGATGATGACGGGAAAGAGGATCTGGAGTACGATGGTTGGGAAGAGGATCAGGGTGGAAGGAGGTTGATGACGGGGAGGAGAAGGATGCTGAGGGGGAGGCGAAGGGGAAGGTAGCTGAGGATCAGCAGGGCTGAGGAGAAGAATGATGACGGGTTTCCTTTCCTTTTTTTTTTTCTTTGGAGCAAAGAAAGGCGAAGAACAACAGCGGATGTACGTGAAGGGGGAAGGAGGAAGGAAGAAGAAGGTGGCTCTCAGCTGGACAGACCAGAAGGGGAGAAGGGGAGGGGGGGCGGAGCACGATGACATGCAGGAGGATATGGAGGACGATGCCGAGGAGAAGGAGGAGGATGGGAAGCAGGATGCCGAGGCCGATGACAGGGAGGAGGAGGAGGATCACGGGGGGGGGAGAGGAAGGGGAGGAGCGTGGCGGAGTGGAGGCGGGGATGTCAGAGTGGGAGGAGATCCATGACGGGGAGGAGAAAGATGGTGACGGGGAGGGGGAGGAGGAGGAGGAGCGTGGCGGAGAAGTGGGGAGCAGAAGATTCGTTGTCATTGAAATGTGTTTTCTCTTTTTTTTAATGTTTTCCTGCTCGTGGATGCGGCGGGCATCCGCGTGTTTTACTTATTATTGGACGGAATCGCGGCCAGATGCATCTAAGTCCGGCCACAAATGCGGTCAGGTACATTTAAGACAGTGGTAGTGTGAGTACGCCCTTTGAGCCGTTTGGTGAGTAGTGGAGGGAGGCTCAATCTCGCAGTTATAGGGCCTTGCCACACCACTCTCGGAATGTGAACAAAACAAAAATGTGGTGGGTGCATCTGGCCATGTTCTAGCTGGAAGTCCATTCTCATTTTGCACATGTCGAGAGTGGTGTGGCAATGCCCATACTCTTACGGCCTCCCTCCACTAGTCACGATAGGCGCAAAAGCCAAATATATTCTGGTGTATTTGTCCATGTTCTAGCAGAAGATTCATTCTGATTTTGCACATTTGGTGAGTAGTGCAGGGAGGCCCTTGGCAGGGTTTTTTTTCTCTCTCTCAGCTGTGTATGAGAAGGAATCCTCCGCAAGAACATGGGCAAATACACCATCATACTTTTTGTCTTTGGTGCATGTCATGAGTAGTGGAGCAAGACCCATTGTCAGGGACAATGACCCCGTCTCAGAGCGATGCCGTCGCACTGTAATCACCGCCATACCCGCTTCGCAGCTTTTTATTTTTTTATTTTTTTAACCGCCCAGGCAATGTGTTTTTGTCCCCCCCTCTCTTGGTCCCCGCCGCTTTTGCAGCGGGCATACGCTTGTTTTTTTTAATAACAAGGAGATAAAACTGGAAATAGGATCCAGCGTCCCTTATATCACATATACTCACTGCACACATAATGAGAAAATGGCATTCATTACTTCCCGGAGGGAACGATACCACTGCACCCCTGCTTATCCTCCTATGCCGTATTTGCTAGGACTTTCTAGGATTCTGACAGCACTAATTGCTTCATGTTTGAAGGATTCACCGTCAGGATTGGTCTTTGACTTTGTGCACTCGACGCTATTTTTTTTTTTTTTTTGGGGAAGCTCGATGCTATTTGCTCTCTCGTGCGTCCCTTTTTTTTTATTATTATTACTCACACACGCTCCTCCCCATTATGGTTGAGAGGTCCGAGTGGATGTCACCGATTATTTCCCGAGGGAAGAATATACCACCCCTTACCCCTGCCTAAGTTAGCCTGCGAGACTTGACTTCTGAACCCGGTTACTAGACTGCCTTCTGCTACCTTGTTTACGGTTTGGAGCCTACCAGTGGAGGCTTTGCCTAGCTTGCTCCTCTTAGCTACTTGGCTGTCAGAACTGCGTTAGGTACTGGAGTTGCTAGCTTGGCCCATTCACTGTCTATCTTGAACAAAACCTAAACCATATGGGTTCTAGGATTGAAATTTCTCTGAATTTAGGATCTATGACGTCACCGAAGCCCCTTCTACCTCTCCTTTTTCCTTTTTTGGCCTGGTTTGCTGTTGAAGTTGGAACTAGGAAAGCCAGGATGTTGTACCTATTGGGAGGTTCTGGATGTCCAGGACCCAAAACCCTAGGTTGATCTATGGAGGTTTCTTGTTACCTGGTGTTTCTGGGGTGCGGCTTTGGGTGTCGACAGGAGGGGGCTAGGGGCTGTGTATGGTGCAGTACTCGGAACACGGGTGCGAAACTGAAACAAAGAGGAGGGGTGTGACCCTGAAGCAAGGGTAAGGGTGCATGATAGTGAGTCGAGACATGCAGCACACACCTACGAGATTGGACGCTCGAAGAGGGAGGCTTGCAGCTCGCGTTTCGTGCCAGCCCCCGAAGTGAAGAAGCGAAGATCGAAGACGAGCCACGTGTAAGAGGTTTGAAGCCTGGCTCATGGTGTCAGCGGGAGGGGAAGGAAGTGAGTGAACGGAGGTGCGAGGAATGCAGTGGTGTAATTGAGAACTGGTCTACGAATGATGGAGGGAGTTCCGTCAAGGTACGTAGGTAATGGGTGTGGCTGCAAACAGTGATACGAAAAAAGGGGGGCGTGTGGTGTGTAAGGTGCAGTACGTGGAACACGAGTGCGGAGCGGTGACAAGGAGAAGGGTGCGACCGTGAAACAAAAGGAGTGGTGCGCGATAGTGAGTCGAGTAGCCCCGCGAGCGTAAGGAAACTCCCGTATCTGGGAGCAGATAGTCGGAGGTGTGAAAGGATACAACGGCCCTGGCCGAGAAAGCTGTTGGACCTTGCTGCGTGGGAAGTGTGACCTGCAGCACGCTTTTAGGAGATTGGGTGCACAAATAGTGGGAATCGCAGCTCGCGTTTTTGTGCTAGCCCCGGAAGTGAGGAAGACTGACGATGAGGAGCCACGTGTAAGGGTTGGAATCCAGGCTGCCAAAGATCACGTGTTAAGAGCCGTTCATGTTTCTGAACGTGATGAGATGCCGAGTCCTCCCGCTCATGGGAAAGAGTAACCTGCAGCTCACGTTGTAGCGCAGGATCCGAGACTGCGAAACACTGAAGTGGTAAGGTGAGGTACTGAGCGAGGGTGGGGCTTGGCTTTTCCGTTGTCGTTGACAGTGGTAGGAGGTAAGCCAACTGGGATAAGGAGCTGGAAGAGAGATGCCGACACGTCGAACACAGCGGTTGTTGGCTGCAAGACAACGGCACTGAAGAGGGAAGATAGGTGATGTGGTGTGCATAAGGAAGATTGGCTCCCGTCTGGTTTTCGTTCGCTGTTCTGTCCCGTTCTTGAGGTGCCCTGCCAGCAAGGCAGAGCTAGCCTAGGTGGAGTGCGCAACAACACTGCTGTGAAGAACCTACGAGAGGAAGTGCCTATGGATACGTTGAACTCGTGACCAGCGGCTAGGAGTGGTGAAGTTGGGTCGTAGCAGACTAAGGAGGAGGGAAGCTCATGACGCAAACAAGTTCGCAGAGCTGTTGTCTCGTGTCCTTTCGACATTAGTTTCCACACCGTATCTGCTGATACTCTGCCAACAACGCAGGTTTGGCCTCGGGTGAGAAGAAGTGGCAATACCAGTGAGAAGCTTGCATGAGCTGGCTGCCGACAGATAAGTCGTACATGCGCTTAGTGGTGGTCAATGGCAGAGGTGAGTCTGAACGGACTAGGCATGGAGAAGGAGAATTAACGAAGGTATACGCTAACCAGGTAAGTAGGAGGGAAGGTGGTTGGCGAACTAGGAGTATAGGAACGAGACCGGCGGCATGTACCACGATTGGCTGGAATGTGGATTCGGAGAAAGGGACTGACTGTCAGCAGTAAACGGAGAGTGAGGGCCTGAGGCAGAGTGTGTCAGTTTTAGTGAAGGTGCTATCTCGGTGGCAAGCGGGAGCATACGACAAGGCATGTGCTTAGAAGTGGGAAGCAAATGAGGTGGAGTGTATGTTGATCAGTTGTCGGTGCACAATGTGTCCATCTGCCGTCAGGATCTGGTAGGAATAACCTGAGGAAACAATAGAGTCTGGTGTGGAACGTGTAAAATTAACGGGTGAACAGATAGGCCTACAACAAGAAGTACCACCAAACAAGAGAGGGACTGTCAACAGAAGCCAGGCGGTGAGAGAGAGACAGCAGTAGGAATAGCTACCAGTGGAGAGAGAACTGTTAGCAGAAGCCTGGTGGTGCAGGATAGACAGCAGGAGGAAAAGCTACCAGCGGCTAGCACGTGGTCCATCGAACGTAGGGAGCAACAACTGTGGTTCTTGGGCAGCTTCCATGTATCCCCCACAGGCTACACCGGGTCCTTACCCGGCTGGTTATGCAAGGTCAGCACACACACCTGGCCCTTCTCCTCCTCCTCCACCTCCTCCCCCACCAGCTGGACCAGGTGGCCCATGCTATAGCTGCGGGGAGTATGGGCATTTCGCACGAGACTGCGCGCATAAGCAAAATGGGAGAAACTGGCAAAACCAAGGGCGTGGGGGCCACGGAGCAGGAGGGAGTGGACGGTGCCTACAGCCAGCCAAGGAAGAACAAAGAAGAGCGGTTGAGCAGGCTGCTCTCATTTGTCGAGAGTTAGCAGATGGAGGCAGCGGGGAAGAAGAGGGCTGAGCAAGAGAAGAAGCGGCAGGAAGAGGAGAGACAGAAGATGGAGGAAGCGAAACAGAGGGAGGAAACAGAAAGATGGCGGGCGCAAGCAATTATGGAAGTGACAGTTGCGCAAGATTTCACTAAACAGATGGCGGTGCTGGAGGACAAAATCAAAGGTCACGTGCATTCGACACTCACAGCGTCAGAAGAGAAGAATGCATGGCTGCATGATAGCCTGCTGAGGTTCCTGGAATGTAACGAGAGGGACGTACCGAGAAGGCCCAGAACTGAAATGTACCCGAACCCGAAGAGGAGGCTCGAAATGGACGAGTCTGAGCGAGAAGTAGTGGTCGTAGAAAGGAGTGCAGCTACGCCCACCAGGAGGCGAATGCTGGTCACGAGGAAAGGAAAGGAACAAGCAAACGCAGAGGCGAGGAAGAAAGGAGCAGTGACCTCGTGCTCGAAGCAAGGAGTGATTGAGTTTGTCCTCGAGTTGCGAGAGAGTATGCAAGCAAAACAAGCACCGAAACTTAAGTAAATGTGTAAGATGAAGAACATCAGGTGGATATCGAAGGGGCAGGCGATCAAAGACTTGGTAGCAGCGGAAACGAGGGTGGCATATGATGGCTGGCTGACCGGAGCAGAGAGTGACGAAGTCAAGGAAGACAGAGGATCGGGAGTAGATACAGCGCCCCACGCAGATTGACGGTGTGCCCCCCCGGCACGGTACCTCTGGAGCAAACTGTTGATGTATATGGGGCTCCGAGATAGCATCTGGGGGACGTACGGGTTAACGAATTTCAAAATGAATATAGAGCAGGTAATCATTGCGGTGTTCCTTATGTTGGTGATGAGTGGAGTGGCCCCGTGGGCCAAGAAAATGCTCACAGTGACCCCTACTGGCCATGACTTTTTTGACTTGAAGGGACCAGCGGTGTATTGCTTGATTTCACCATGGTGCAAGAGGATGTAAATAGGGCAGTCAATTTGGGGTGCAGGTGAGAGGTGGTGGGAGCACATCTGATGTACTGAGGCTGGTAACTATGGACATGCCCCCAAGTTGTACTCTTTCCTGAAGCTCTTTGGATGGAAGAAGTATCTGGTCCTCCCAATAGTGACGGGAGCTGGAGAGGGTTTGCAAGTGCTGGAGAAGACCCTTATCTACCGTTTTTCCCCAACGCAGAATACGGTGGGCCGATGTGCAGGGACAAAACAGAAGGCTAGACCTGGAAGGAAGGAGAGGCAAAGAGTGAAAACACCCATGCCAATGCGCAGGAAGGGGCTCCTATGCTTCACGCATGCAGGGCAGGGAAAAAAGTACTTTAGTTTAACAGAGCTCTTGGAAGACACGTATGCAACGAATTCAGAGAGTTGCCAGCTCTCTTTTAAAGGTGCAGGAGTCTACTGAGCATCGCCCTACGGCTTCAATTGTTGTCCATTTCGTGGGCAACGACCATTTCACGTCCTACGACATTTATAGGTCAACGGGTCACACTAAGGTTGCGTTATCCACTGAGAAGCCTCCCCATAAGGAATGAAGGCGGTGAAGATTGTATCATCTGGAGGAGAGTTGTGGGGAGAAAAGTGGTCTGTCACCCGAAGGAAGTTCGGGACGTCGACTGTCACGGGGGAAGAGACGAAGCTACCTCTAGGGAAGGCCAAGCAACAGCTTGAGCGAGGAGGCACGTTCAGGGTGTCGCTGGTAGTGAAAACCGAGAAAGCAAGATACAGAGGGAAAGGGTATCTGAGGCTGCTACTGGAGTGTCAAGGAAGCAAGCGGAACTTAAGCATTTCGATGTCACAAAGCTGGTCTTCTTGTACAAGTGTGCTAGAGAGTTCAAGACCAAGACTACAAGAAGGGCGCTAAAAGAGAAGATAGCGGCAAAGATCAGAAAGAAGACGGGGGGTGAATGTCAGATTGAAGGTCAATGTGGGAGTCAAGTATAGCCACCAACTGAAAAAGAGGGAGATCCACGACACGGTGGTGTTTTGTGTGGAGAAGAGTAGAATTCATCCGTTATTCAAGCAATTGGTGCGGAACCGTGTGAGAGTGGTGTGGAAGAAGAACAACACGGTTGAACAGGTCTTGACCAACCATCAGAAGGTGGCTAGAGGAACAATGGAGCTGTGTACGTGCAGCGAGGATCGACTGTCGAGGGTGGATGGACATGTGATGGCTCGTATTGCGCAGTGCTCAGAGGTTCCACTGTTCCTGCACAACGGGAAGAATGTACTGCAAAGTGATCTGGGCACGAGACCGGCAAAAGTACAACAAGCGGTCGTGAAATCCCTGGAAGCAGTCATGAGGAGAGATTTGTATCAGGTAGAGGCATTGAGCAATTTTCCGGAGATCATCTCAGACCGTACTAAAGCTAGGCCAGCATGCTTAGAGGAACAAGCGAAGGAGATAGCGGCGAAGGTGAGCCACCTGGTAGTGGTCCCGGTTGACAGGAATCCAGGGGATCTAGTGGTCATGTGCCCATCGACATACCACCATGGTCTCCGGATCGTGTTTAACCATAACATCGAGTACCAGCAAGTACCGGAGACGTCCGAGAAATAGGTGCTGGGTCAGATGAGGAAAGAGTTCAAGGATCGAGCTCTTTGTAAGATGGGAGCATGGAACCCAACGACCAAACTAGGGCAAGCGTATGTTATGCTGAAGCATAAGGACCTGACAAGGTGGAGACCTATAGCACCCGCAAATTGAGACGGTTCAAGGACTCGGGGGAGAAGACTAGCACGTGCACTGAACTTCCTGCTGGAGAAAGTCCCTAAAGCCAAGCACTTCAACGTGAAGGCCACGACGATGCTGAAACAGAACATGGAAGGGGCGGGAAAAAGACTGAATGTTTTTGGAGAAAGGACGATGGCCTTGATGGCTAGCTTTGACATCAAGGCGATCCAGCAGGCAGTCGAGTGGCTGCTGCGACAGTGGGAGTCGAGAGGGGTGAGCAAACTTAGCCTGAGCAGACGGGGTCGAGTGGTGACCATTAGCCAAAGGAGCCCGGGACCAGGCTATGTGAGGGTCAAATTCTCCCAGATCAGACAAATGGTCCAATATGAGTTGGAGAATACATACCTTTAATGTAGGAAGATGATCCTGAGGCAGGTGGTAGGCATCCCTATGGGGAAGAATTCCAGCCCCGCGCTGGCGTGTATACTGTGTGCGAAGCACGAGGTGGACTTCATAGACTCGTTGGGAGCAGATCGGAGACTGGTGCACGGGGTCAGGCTGGTAGATGATGTCACGCTGGGAGTCGTGTGCGACATGGGTGACATTCGGAGTGTATTGACAGCAAGGTACATCTGTCAGAAATTCGCAAGTACATATGGGGAGCAGCTAGTGCTAGTAAGGACAGATGACGGGTCCAACTCCTGGGACTTCTTGGGAGTACTGGGACCGGTCAGGTTTATCATCCGCCCCAAGCATAAGAATGAGGGGGCCACGATTGAGGACCCCCTAGCCTTCAAATGTTTCCAAGATTTTTCCTCATATTCAGATAAGCGAGTGAAGGCGGGCACGGTGATTGCCTCGCTTCACAGGATCAGGCAGCATTCTAGCGACCCAACAACAGGGGTCCAAGGGACACTTTCCATCAGCATAGAGCTGCGGTGCGGGGGGTATCCCCCGACGCTCTTCTCCAACGCTCTGGCGGTGTTTGCCAGAGCCACCGGCACGTTCGGTGCAGAGTTGAAGATGCTGGCCGAACAACCGGTTAAATTACTACAGGAGGGAGACCGGAGGGAGCAAATAAGGGAGCGTGAGAAAGGAGAGCCCACAATGAAGCGGGGTGATGGGAGCGTGGGAGGGCAGAGTGCCCAGCACCGGGGTGTATAGTACACGCGTGAGGGATAAGCAGGTAGAGAGCGTAGTGGTAGGAGTAGCTGTGCACTGTAGAAGGGAGGGATACAGGGCCCGGGTAAACCGGGATGTATACTAGTTAGCAGAGGGAATGAACAGGTTAGCTCCGTAAGTAGGAAGGGAAGTAGCAGGGCCCGAACAACATGGGGTGTACACTAAGCAGTAAGGGAAAATCCTGAACCGGGTGATGTGAACCACGTTGACCAATAGAAACAATCAGGAGGGATCGGGCTTAGGCAGTGGCAGTAGCAGTATGTTGTTACAACTGGACAGAGGGCGGCAGCGATGGGCTGAGTATTGGGAGAAATAGCGAAGTGCGCCCGTACCGTAGGAAACCGGACGTAGGTAGGGACTAGATGGGAGACACAGTGGCCAACAGGGTCGGAACCGGGAAAAAAGGGGTGCGCCGCCAGACCGGGAAGTACATAGTGCAGAAGACTGGCCCGGTACAGCGGGAGACTAAGGCAAAAAAGCCTGAGTCGCATCGCAGGCCCCTACCGCCGACCGGTACATGTGCTATTCAAAAACTTGGCGCAGGCAAAGGCGCACACGTGAGGAGGCGAGAAGAAGGGGCGTGCGGACGTGCACGCCACGCCAGTTACAAGTGAGCCAGGTAAGCACCTACCTAGTCAGTTGCAGACGTGGAGTCTGCGCAAGCTATATCTTAGGAGGGCAAGGCCGGAAAGGCCCTCTTTGCTCGAGGTGGAATGCTACGGTGGATGCGGGAGAGTGGGAAGGCCCTTGATAAGTCCTGGTGCGCAGCCAGGTGAAACACGTCGGGGAACGTGCGCATTGAGCAGTTGTCCGTGTAAGTGCTTCAATGGTCTTCATTGAGACATGGACGCATAGCGATTGGCCTCGCTGTATTCAATTCATTTCAATTCTTCTTCTTCTTCTTCTTCTTCTTCTTCTTCTTCTTCTTCTTCTTCTTCTTCTTCTTCTTTTTTAATTTAAAAAATGTGGGCTGTCTTCTCCTCATACAGGGGGATAGCTGAATTTGCTATGCTATTTTCTTTGCTCCATTTTTTCCATCTCTCAATACCTACCTCGGGCTGTGTACTCGAACTGGTCTGCCCACCTCCGAATCTGCAAGGGCTCGGCAACCCAACCAGCAAGGAACCCAGCTCCCATATTTCTGAGACCAGCTACAGGGTTAGGGTCTAAGATAACCTTAGGAAACAAGAGATAACCTTTGGAGATCAACTACAGGGCTCTCTCTCTCTCTCTCTCTCTCTCTCTCTCTCTCTCTCTCTCTCTCTCTCTCTCTCTCTCTCTCTCTCTCTCTCTC